GGGCCAGAGTCCCCCGGCGCGGGTCGCAGGCGGCGGCGCCCACCTCCCCGGCTGCTGTTGCTGCTGCAGCTGCTGCTGTGTGTGTTTCAAGCTGCTTCTATAATTACAGACACAATCAAAATGCACAGGTTTTTTTTCCTGCCGGTTGGAGATGGAACTTACAACAACAGTTTAGCGTCACTATTCAGAAGCTGCAAACAACTGCAGATGTGACACCCGTGACTGTGGCACGACATTGATTTTTTCTGAATGGCGATGATTGGCGACGCATTCTCTTTTGAATTTTACTACACACGTACAGTTCAGTAATCACGTATAGTTTGGTCGTCTCATTCTGTCAAACAAATTCTATCAATGCTGATGTCTGCTATTGTCTGTGCTCAGCATATATCTGTGCTAACACCAACTAGAATTATAAGTGCCAACCATAAGTGTTGGTTGTACAGTAATAAAAGTCTCTGAGATCTTGAAGTTGATGTTCTATTATGGCCATTAATAAAGTCAGCGTTTCTCTTTTTGGCAAAACCTCTTCCTTAATCTTGTACTGTGAGAAACCCAATAAATCTCACAGACTGTTTAACAAATAAAACTGTGGATATGAGTGGATGAAGAGCTGAGGGGTTCTTGGTGCTTTTACAGAACATTACCATCGATAAAAGCCTGGGGTCAGCAAAGGTTTTGCTGAATTTGTTTTACTACGTATTGAAAACACCCTGTATATTTAGATCAAGAAAATGTATGTTATTACTGACAGAGTACTGGAATATTCTACAAATAAGAGCCAACGTCTTAAATCTTTATTCAAAATTACCATTTAAAACGGATGCAGCCAATTATCAAGAATGATTTTTCATGCAGATAATTATCAAAACCCCAGACGTCCTGGTTAAAAAACAACTGAGTTTTTTTAAGTGTATTACTTCCTTACAGTTTGCTGCTGACACAATATATATAAGTATATATACATGTACTTATATAGTGTATGTATAGGTAGGTTTGCCCTTTGATACCAGTGTCAACTAAAATGTGTGCACCGCATCTTTAACACAGCTGCATATGAACGTTGATGTCTCAATTACAGCGGACCCAATATTTATTTTTGGAACCCAAAATGACTACTACAAGTATTGTTAATTTGTGTACTTGCATATTTTGAGTACCATATATTTTGCTGATACATCGATTACGTCGACGTATGACAGCTGAACTGGAAGCGAGTGTTACTGTGTACAGGTGACACAGCTCTGTTGGTAACAGGTTGACAACAAAGTATCAGACCTGCTACTGATACTAGTATAGGTACCTGTGCATCCTTAGTTTCAATAAAAAAGAGAGGTCACTCACTGTGTACGTTAAGGAAATGGCAACATCACCTGGCAACTGTTGCTAAAGATGCCAACGTGTATAACATGAAACCAGTTTTACACAAATTTTAAAAGCACTGAAAAATGTGTAAAAAACACACCTGATATAAACCACAGTCTTTTAAATCTGCTCTGATGTTAAATGTACACCTGGCATCGGGCTGTTTGTGTGTGTGTGTAATTTCAATGTGTAACTAATCAGACACTGACATCAATGTCTGCACTTATTAAGTGAACAGACTGTGTGTAATTGCAGAGTGACACATTCACGGGGCATTACGTGTGTGTGTGTGTGTGTGTGTGTGTACAGTAAGCAGGAGTGTGACAGCAGCAGGAGTGTGTAGTGAGTGTGAGCCTCACACAGGTGTGTTTCTCTTCTGCTGTGACTCCTTTTGCTGTCGAACGACACCCGCGACAGATTTCATGGCAACTGTTTCCTTCAGGATACTGCAGCCCAACATTTCAAAACAAGACACTCACTCCAGTCTACTGCATGAGCTGAGGTGAGGAATAAAGTTATTTATTCATAGTTTTTGGTAAACCATTAATAAAGCTAGGGCATTGACAACTTTTTTCACGTTGACTAATCTGAAAATAATGTCAAACCCGAGTCAATGAGTCATTTATGACATCATCATTTTGACAGAGGAGGAACTACACAGACTCTCCATACATTACTGTTATAGATTTTGTCAATGAAGAGAACGCATCAGTCAGTTGTTCTATCAGCTCCCAGACGTTCGTATCTCAAATCACTTTTTTTATTCTTGCCTTCATGAGAGTTTCATCCCCCAGGACAGACTGTAGGGGGAGCCTCTGACCATGTAGCCACGTATGTTTTTTCTACCAAGCGCCTGTTACCAATGATGGGTAGATTGGTGTTCATGGGTACGGCCCATTTTATGAAGGGATTATGACTATTGGTTAAGACAGATCAGTGTAAGCCAATCAGAGGTGAAGACTGCATTAGCACACAAGCGGAAGAAAAAACACTTTTGACTTTTTCGACTCCTCCCAGGGGACGTCAACTTGTGCCACATACATGGACACAAACACATTTGAGGTCAAACCACAACTTGGCCACGGGCCAGACTTTGTACCTGTTGCAGACAGTTGTTATTTAAAATTAGGGTAAAAACCATTGTCTCAGCTTCTCCTACTGTGCATGGGAGCTAATCAAGATTAAATGTATTTAGAGGCCGCACCAAGACTCCACTTATATTGCGAATTAATCATGAAAGTGGAAACTAAGTGCATTTGGAGCTCCTTACTTTACATCGTACGTCCCCTACGACGTGACCGCTCTGCACTTACACCTGAAGTAATGATGTTCCAACAGCATGGGTGGCCCGTGTGTCTCTGCATTTCTGGGGCGCACAATTCATCACAACAAAATCTAACTCCATCCTCCACTGAATGACAAAATGTGCAAATTGGATTATTACTAACAGGCCATAACTCAGAGAGGAAGACGTGTCCACCTTCTGTGTCCTCAAAGCTGCGTGCCTCTCCTCATCCCTGCAGCTATAACAATGACAAACTGTGACACAGGCGGCTGCGTCTCTGTTAACGGCTTATTTCAGGGTGTAAAGATGAACTGATGACGAATCAGTTATTGAACGCGCGGCCAAAAAAAATGAAGACGGTAATATTCTGACTGCTGTATGGACTGGTGCGCAACAAATCAAATGAGGACAACATAATAGGTCCGACTTTCTTAAATCACATTTGAACCGTCGCCTCGGGTAATTCTTCCTCTGTGTTATCACATTAGAGACTGGTGAAAACGCTGCCGTTTTCTATGAAACTCCACTGAGGTGTACAGCAGCCATAGAATTGAACACTTTCAACAAGAGCTGCTGAAGTCAATGCTAAATTACTAAATCAAGCTTGACCCTTGACCTACAAAGAGATCCTGAAATAGTGATAAATCAAGCATAACAGTTTTATTGAGAGAATAAGTTTTTTCATCTCCAACCCCTGATGCTACTCTCAGAATTTACTGTCCTGACTTTCACCTGCATGAAGATGATGTGATGAGATGAGTAACTGCAAAGTGCTCTTTTACTACAGATTATACGGCTCTATATTTTACATAATGGGCATACAGGTGTTCTCAACATACCGCTACATAGTACAATATTAATAAAGTATATGATACTAAAGTATATGATAGTTATTCTGAGAATATTCTGGACTATTTTGTATTTGTTTTTAATTGTTGCAACAACAATAAACAGACATCTGATTATAATTTTTTTAAACATATTTAAGATATATAAGCGTTAGGCATAAGGAACAGACGAAAAAATAGGAATTAATATGTAATTTCTTAAAATCGTTACAGTCACAATAAACACAATAGTACAAACACAACAAACTCATCTCTGGAGTTTACCTGATTGGACAGAACCAAATAAAATATTAGAAAAATATAATATTGACCAATTAAACAAATAACAACCTGTTAACTTCATGTTGTTTTTTCCTCATCACGTCCTGGTATTTTTCCTCCATTTGTGACATTAAATGAATTCTAACATTCATTTCACTCTCAATTTTCTGCTCGCATCATATTAGAATAAACCCATTCAGACCAAGCTTTTCCTGGAAGCCCCTCAATTTTCTGCTCGCATCATATTAGAGCGGGATCATTCAGACCAAGCTTTTCCTGGAAGCCCCCAGATCATCATCATCATCATCATCATCATCATCATCATCATCATCATGTCAAAAACAGACCATTGACAGCGCTCACCTGTGCAGGAGTAGTCATCGATCCTGATGTAGCCCGTGTGGCAGATACACATGAAGGAGCCGGGTGTGTTCACACACATGGTGTTCTCCCTGCAGTAGTGCTTCCCCTCAGCACACTCATCAATATCTACAGACAGAGAACAAAGAGTTCTGGTCGTCAAAATGGTCAAACATGCAATATCTACAGACAGAGAACAAAGAGTCAAGGTAAAGGGCATTCAAGGATATTCAAAAACAATCGGAATAAAAATTCTGGTCGTCAAAATGGTCAAACATAAACGGTTCATTCAGGACTTTTCATTGAAACATGATTGTTCTCTTATTTATATATCAACACATTTGAACCAAATCCCAGTCCACACTCTGACGTCTGTTCCTACTGTGGACACATATATACATGTATATCTATATTCACTGCTTCATCCACACAGTTTCTTTCTTTTTATAATCTGAGCAATGAAAAGAAAAGTTGTTATTCTGGGACACTTGCTGAAGTGACTGATGCTTTTGTCCTTCCGATGACAGCCTTGACTTTTATTAGTGAGGAAACATCCTCCCAACAGAGTGACATCCCCAGTGTTACACTCAGGCCTATTTTGAGTTTGTCCCCGGAGCTGGATTCTACTACGCAATGCAATTCCTCTTAGTTGATTCTTTCTATATAAGGCGACTTCTTCAGGTTCCTGTGCAGCGAGAGAGAAATTTGTCTTTATCAGAGGTAAATCACAGTCGTGAGGTCGGCTCAGGAGCGTTCCAAGTTACACCACAATATTTGAATTATACTAAATTTACTACATATGTGTAGTATATACAGTAGATTGCGGAATCCTTCTGTCAGACATCTTTTATCCCTGAACTCTTTACCTCAGTGGTTCTCAAACTGTGGTAGGCGTACCAACAGTGGTACGCAAGCGCTCTCTAGTGGTATGCAATTCATATTTTCACATTTTCAACTGAATAAATCTGAAACATACCATGCACAATGAATACAACATTTAAACATAAACATCTTTCTAAACATTTCTAAACATCGCTCCTGTGTGGTGGAAGCTAACAGGGAAGGCCTACGAAACAAACATCTTAGTTTTTACAAATAAAAACTGCTGTTTCCTTTTTTTAAATTTAAATATCTCACCCCGGGGGCAATCCTAAACCTTTATCTTTTAATCTATTTGAATTCTCGTTAGCCACATCATTGATGACTCTCTGGTGCTCTCTCTCTCTGTGTGTGTGTGTGTGTGTGTGTGTGCTGTTATTACAGTATCTTGTTTTGTTCTCTGTACCGTGGAGGTTTAGATTTTCCGCTACAGAATAATGGTTATACATAAACTTACACTGATATGATAAACAAAAAAAGTCCTCTGTGGCGAGTGGTTAAAGATTCAGTCGTCATTTTTTTACGCTTTAATTTTCTTATTCTGTGTGTTGTTTTAGGACTTCAGGTCATTTTTCTGTAACAACACT